CAAAAGTGACGTCATTGTCGGGATTGTTTTATTACTTTGAATGGTTCTTTTCCACATGGAGGACATTGTAAATTACTGGAGGCTAAACTGCACTTTAATATGTTTCCACAGACACCACTAACTTCAAATAATACTGACTTTATATATTTCATTTGTGTAACTGTACACTATGTTCAGCACAATCTTATACAATATATACTAACCAGTCATTGTCAACTTATTTCCAGGGGAGGTAAGCAAGTTTTTCTTTTTTACCGATCCAGTTTTCTTTTGAAATAAACATATGTTTAAACCAAATACTGGAATCCCTAAATGTCTTACAAGGGCATCATCTCTTCAGATATACTGAAGTCCATTAGAAACACACCACCCTATTATCGTTGATCACGGAATATACATAACGAATTTTGAACCCACATTGTGGTTGAAGTAGTCTGACTATGACAGATAAACGTGATGTACACCGAAAAGCACGTGCATCCCTGTGTGGTCACGTCACCACCCAATTGCTGAAGATTCCTTTTTCACCTGCAGATCGCGTCAACAGAACCAGCATGATTTTCCTGCCAATTATATTACATATTGATTACATGTATATATCTACAAACCGAATAAAGAGCTGTTTGAAAAGATCAAATGGTTAGGCATTGCATACTTGGCAGGCATTGCTTAAAAGTTCACCGCCACATAAGTTCTGATTGCCTCCAGTGCTTGTACATATTCGCATGCCAGTCACGATGGAATCTAAACGATTGTCCTCCATGCAAATAACTAAATAATCTGAACATATGCACATACTTCAACATCTACCTTCACTGACTTCACACACTGGGTAACATCATTTTCAACATAAAACATTTTTTATTAAACATTGGCACAGTAAAGGAATTTACTTTGTACAGGACATATGTAGTCAAAGTGGTTTAATGACTTTTGCTGAACTGAAGAAAATGTATGATATTGGCGGCACTCTTTTAGGTTATCATAAATTACTATGTTGCATCCCTTCTAGTTAAACTGTATTAATGACCAATCATGTATCAATAATTCAAGTTTTGTGATCAGTAATAAGTTACTTGACATTCTCAAACCTGGTAAGGGTTCTAGATATGTCTATGATAAGATTATTGCTTGTGACGAGGTTCCACATGTGTGTAACAAATGGGTTGAAAACTTCATGGTGGTATTTCCTCCATGGAAAGATATATTTCTTCATTATAAATCTTGCACCAAGGATGTAAAACCTTTAGAGTTCCAATTTATATATTTACATCGCTTAACCTACACCAAGAAAGAACTAAAAAATATGAAACTAATGATTGAGGATATTTGCTCCTGTAGTAAAAATGATAGTGAAAGCTTATCACATATTTTTCTAGGATGTGAGCATGTTAAAGAATTCTGGTAGAGTGTGGAATTATACTTGAATTCTTTTTTCAAGGAAGAAATAATAGTTGACACTTGTGCTATTCTATTTGGTTTCCAAGCCAAATTTAAGTTAATTAACCACTTACTCTTGTTTTGTAAAAGACATGTATTCTTAAGTAGTCATAAAAGGACAACCCTTTCAGTTGATACAGTGATAAAAACCTTCAAACAGATATATTCTATTAAAACATTTATTGCCCGCAAGAAAAATAAAGGGGCGGCATTTGAAACAAATGGCTTCCTGTGTTACATATTTATGAAATCACTTGACTTCATGTTTTTCAAAAACACTATATCTCGCTTTGACTATTTGTACTTAAAGCTTTGCATCCATATGCTCTGGCGGTATAGCTGTTATTAATTTATTATGATTTGCATTACTTGTTTTCTGTGTCATTCGCTTTGTACTTTTTTGCCAGAACCATGTAATACTATACACATACTTCTACACAATTTGTAACGCCTACTGTGTCAAAACTATTGTATGAGAATACTGTCATTGACTGTTTCTCTGTATCTAAGACATATTGCTGATACTGTACTCATTTGTGCCTACTGTCTTTAAATACAACCATGCTTGTAACCTGATTAGCTGGAATAAAAAAATAAAAATAATCTGAACATATGCACATACTTCAACATCTGCCCTCACATACTTCACACACCGACCTATTCGTGCACACTGAAACACTCAACCATGATGAGCATTCGCACACACCGACAACATACGCAAAACAATTTGCTCATTCAGAATCATGTGTATACACTCAGCTTCCTGAACTCTATGTCTTCACACACACACATCAGCTGGAGGTACCAAACAGTCTCTTGCTGGCAAATGCAAACCATAACTGTACACATACATACATGGCTGCATTACCACATCGAACGACCTGCAAATAAGGAACTATCTTCACACACAGTCATCAGCACAAACATCAGACACCGACGATACACACAAAACAATCGCTGATCTATCTAGTACACACTAACCTTCACACACTTACCTCTCGGCACACACGTTTCTATGCTCTCTCACACACACACACACACACATCAATCAGCACACCCTGAGTACACACAATTCAATCAGCACACACTGAATGCACACACGTCAATCAGCACACACTGACTGCACACACGTCAATCAGCACACACTAACTGCAGACACGTCAATCAGCACACACTAACTGCAGACACGTCAATCAGCACACACTGACTGCAGACACGTCAATCAGCACACACTGACTGTAGACAGAGCTATCGGCTATTGGACTGCAATCACACAGACATTGGTGATCTTAATTGAACTCATGATTTGTGGTGTGTGCATCATCATGAGCATAGATATGTGTCATAGTGCTCTCATCCTGGTAACAATACAGGCAATGAAATATGAATTGTGGTATCATCTTATTTGAAATATATTGCATGATGATCCATGATAATAAAACCGTAGGAACAGAAGTACTAATTTGAAGTGTGACATTCTCGGGCGGTTATGACAGCAACACAACGCCTTTATATGTACAGGAGAATCTGTCAGAACATTGTAACCAGTCGGCATTCATCAACGACTGCCTCTCCACGATCTGGGTCTGGGGTCTATTTACCTCATCTATCAAGATCTTCCCAAATGTGTTTGATCAGAGTCATGTCTGGGGAACGGGAAGGCCAATCCCTGGCATCAACAACGATGATGATTAAGACGTCAGCAGTTCAGTATGTGGTGCAGCCATGTCATGTTGCCACACCAGGACCATGTAGCTGCACAACTGGCAGAAGAACTGGATCAGAAATTCAATTAAGTTTGACCGTTGGAACAATACCTCCCAAACCATTAAGCTTCACCCTCCAAAGCGTTCTTCCTTACCAACACAACACTCTGCGTGACGTCCCTCCTTCCTGCGCTAAACTCGTACCCTGCCATCGTCAAAGCGCAGTGTAAAACATGGATGTAGACAATCCCGTTTTACTGCCTTAGGCTAAATCTTGCTATAGTCCAGGACTGGAACTGCTGCGACGAATTGTCCATCTTTAAATTGACCAATCAATTTGCACAATCCCAGGGAATGGGCAGGGATTAAAAGATAATCCAAATGAAAGACATCATGATTAATGTTTAACACATCCAAACATTTAGGTAGTTAAAAGTTCAAATATAAATTATTTTTAAAGCTGAAATCAATGGTTAATCTTCTATTATTTTGTCATAGTCTTCTTTGAAAATAATTGAGAAGGTGTTTGTGTTCACCAAACTGTCAAATATTGTTTTTGCTCCATGGTCTGCCGTTATTGTAAAACAAATGACAAAAGTTAGAAAAATACACAGCACAACAGTACAATCAATCAGCTTGTGTATGTTATCATCCAATCCCAAGGAATGAGCAGTCGTTAACACTGCCCACTCCCTGGTATCAGCTGGACAATCAGCGAGATTAAGCATGCCATCGGCTATTCACGCTGATAGGGCAACATTCTTGGCCAAACCCAAGGAATGGTCAATTCCAGGAATTCGGCACGACATACATACGATTCTGAATGAGCAAATTGCTTTGTGTACCTGGCCGGTGTGTGCGAATGCTCATTATGTGCAGATGGTTGAGTGTTTCAGTGTGCACGAATGGGTCGGTGTGTGAAGTATGTGAAGGCAGATGTTGAAAGACAGCGTGTACATATGTTCAGCTTATTTAGTTATTTGTATGCAGGCAATCGTTTAGATTTCATCGTGACTGACATGCGAATCTGTACAAGCACTGAAGGCAATCAGAACTTATACGACGCTAAGTGGACGTTAAGCAATGTCTGCCAAGAATGTCTAATGATTTGATCTTTTCAAACAGCTCATTATTCAGTTTGTACATATTTAATCAGAATGTAATGCAGTTGACAGGCGAAGGAAAATCATGCTGGTTCTGTTGACAAGAAATCATTTCAGTGTTTGATTTTGGAACTCTTATGTGTATAATCCAAGTTCGATTTCTTCCAGCTTTCAGCAGAATGCATCTTTTCTTCAGGATGCTATTACCAAGCATTACTATTTTGCTAATGAGACTTACATTTACTTATTCAACCTATTGAATCCGTTACCGCAGTGTTTATTCTTTGTATTAGTGTTCTTTCTTTCTTCTAAAGCGTGTATTCATTATTGTTTACAATCATTATCCTATGTACTTGTAAATTGATTTGCTTAGTTGTTATGCAACGGCCAATTACGAGGTATATCATGTCAGGCCGTCACTATGTTGTGGACCAGCGAGGGCAATTCGGCAGTTATACGTAGAAGTTAAAAGAAGAAGCAACTCATTTACTCATAGCACGGGATGATGATGAGAGTGTCATGGTTGTTAGGTTTTCTTGCCATTTCGTCTTTTCTGTTGTTTTGTGCTGACTGTAAAACGGGGTCAAACGAGACACTTCTACGCGAAGCCCTTCTTAATGGATATGACGTCAACATCAGACCAGTTCGTGACAGACTGTCGAAAACAATTGTTCACATTTTAGTTGGTCTTTCGCACATTGGGCGACTTGATGAGAAGGCCCAAACACTGATTGTTATCGGTTATGTCAACATGGTTTGGAAGGATGATTTCGTTCAGTGGAATGACACAATAGGACCACCATCAATGAGGATTCCAGCTGGGATGATATGGACACCCGAAGTTGTTATCATCAACTCCTTGGATGACATGGAACCTCTTGGATCCAGTGACTCGAGGCTCCTGGTGACATATAATGGCTATGTGTACTGGGCAGTTGGCATATCGACATCAGTAACGTGTAACGTTGACGTCACTTCATTTCCTTTTGACTCTCAAACTTGTCACTTGGCATTTCTCAACTGGGGATTGATGGAGAGTGGTGCAGAGCTAACAAATAGAATAAGTGAAATTGATTTTAGTTTTTTCAAAAAGAAAGGAAGTAGTGAATGGAAGATCTTAGGTAGTTCGGTAGTCGCAACCATGCATCCGACTGCTTCTAACAGGACTGAGCCGATGGTGTTTGCCTACATTCGTCTAGAAAGACGGTACATGTTTCATGTTGTCACGAGCATCCTGCCTGTGGTTTGTCTTTCTATCCTGAACCTTGTGGTGTTCCGGACGCCACCAGAATGTGGTGAGAAGATGTCAATGTCACTTTCCATCTTGCTTTCCTATGGGATTTATGCTACCATTGCCTCCACGACACTCCCGTCCAACTCGGAATCCCCTTGTCTCTTCAGCATCTATTTAGCCATCCTCATCAGCATCAGTTCTGTCAGCGTCATCGCAACTCACGTTGTAGTCGTCCTGCATCACAAAGTCGGGTCATGTGAGTGGAAGGTATTCAGGCAATGGTCGTCTTGCTCTACAAAATCAAACAACACCGTCGGGCCTTACTGTGATGAGAGCGAACAACCAAAACGTGAGACGTCCCTACTTTGGAAGGACGTTGCAATAATTCTAGACCGAATTTTCTTCTCAGTGTTTCTTCTCGTGACACTCTTGGTGACAATGGCCGTGTTCATCATGATGGCAAAATATCGTAAATGAGATTGTAAGATTTCTAAAAACGTTTGCTGTGTGTGACTATCCTTTACTTGGATGTTTTTTTCTTGAATATTAGAAAGTGCCCATCCTTGTATGATTTTAGTGTTTTAAATTTACAGCATACATTGCCATTGCTCCGTCGCCGTTTTTGTTCTGTACTGTACAGCATGTAGAAGAACTATAACATGTATATATTCTGACGGAAATTTAAAACGTATATTTAAAACGTAAACCATTTTATTGAAAAATAAACCTAAATAAACATGTAGCAAAGCACTGCGCATGAAATGTGATGTCATGTAACGATTCCAGACTAAATGTTTGACTGCTCGGACAATTCCTTGCTCATGTTCAATCAGTTCCAGGACTGTACGGAACCGTCTGAGGGAGCGCAACACCCGGCCCCGACGACCTGCAAAACGCCCAATTGTGTTCCAACGTCACCGACGGGCACGTCTTGCATTATGGATACAGCATCTAAGGTATAAGTGACAAGAATGGGATAGTCTTGTGTTCACTGACGAGTACAGATTTTCTGGACAACCGCAGATGACATGACAAGGGTGTACAAACGGTGAGGTGAACGGTATAGTGACGAGCGCGTTGTTCAATGTCGATAGTTTGGTGGCGGAAGTGTTATGGTATGACCAGGCATCACATCTCATGGTCAGACACATCTTGTCATTGTCCATGGGACTCTGACATGTCAGCGATACAGGGATGAGATTATTGTCCCTCATATACAGTCGTGCATTTAAGGGCAGAGACGTATCTTCACGCTTCAGCAAGATAATGTCCGTCCACATGTCGCTCGTGTTGTGACAGATTTCCTAAGACAGTAGAACATTCAAGTACTCCCAGCTGTTTCTCCGGACCTGTCCCCTTTGAGCACGTTTGAAATGCAATGGAGCGATCTTTACGTCAAGACGACAATCAACCTTTGACGTTAGCTGAATTGGGTCAAGCCTTGGTTCAGACATGGGACACCATTCCCCAAAGTTTTCCTCTCGTCTATGCGTCGTCGTTGCCAAACCTGCATCAACGCCAATCGTGGACACACAAGATACTGAATTTGTGTGATTTTTGACAGCACATCTCTTCAAGGGTGTGTCACGATGCCTCGTGTCATATCATGAAGATTTCGATATTATCCTGTAAACAGTGATTAAAGAATTCACCACAAAACAGGTTATTATATTTAAAATATATATAAAATGACATAACATCAAATAATGCACAGTTACTTTATTCCAGCAGTATATGTTCCATCTTGTCTCAATATACCATGAAAATGGGTGTTCATGTCTGTATATGTATCCTCTTGGAAGTGTGATATATGATATATTATTTGGTGGCCTTGATCCGACTAAGTGATCAAAATAGGTGGATTGGTTTTAACATTATTCCTATGAATTGTAGTATTCCTCGATCCTGCTCATTTGCGCAAGATGGGGAGATAAGTACATCCCTTGAATTGAAGGAAAAGGAAGTTGAAACAATCAAAGGTCACGTCATTGACGGGGTTGTGTTATTACTTTGAATTGTCGTGTTCCACATGGAGGACATACTAACTTACTGGAGGCTAACTGCACTTTAATATGTCTTACAAGGACATTGTTTTCTCAGAAACCAGTTGGTTTGGAGAAGAGGTATGTTGGTAGAATATGTATGAGCGACTGAGTGAGTATTGTTTTACGCTGCTTTTAGCAACATTCCAGCAATATCAAGGCGGGAGACACCAGAAATGGGCTTCACACATTGTACCCATGTGGGAAATAGAACCCGGGCCTTCGGCTTGACGAGCGAACGCTTTAACCACTAGGCTACCCCACCGCCCTGGTAGGAGATGAAGCATGTCACCGTTGTTCCAAATCAGCTAAGGGATTTCAAAGAAACCACTTATTTGTGAAGTGAGAGTATAACATGGAATGCTTACTCATTGTCTCTTGTCATCTGTCAACATATCTTTCCACAGAAACCATGGGACTTTGATTAAAAATCCCAGCAGTACAAGCAGTTTTGGATTTTTGACAGATAGATGTTATGATGACCGAGATGGATTTGGCCCCCATTGCTGTATTTTGTAACGTATATTTAATCATGTCACGTGATAATGTGATGCCAATTGACTTATGATATGAAGCAAATTCGATTTATTTGAAGACAATTTGTCATTGCTTTAGCTTAAAAATCCTCGAAGGTAATCTTGTATATGCACTTTGTAACTTCACTAAAGCTCAAAACTCCCTCAAAACAGCAACTGCCCTTGAGTTTTTCAGGCAACGAAATGGCATACAATACAACGGTTACTACTCCCTTGTCATCCATGCTTGGTGGTTTAAACCATCACCTGTTTATTTGTCATTCACTCAGTAATGAGTTTATAACCGGTTTAATCAGTGGTAATATTACATGGCAATCTATTTGGCATTTCTGGGGTAATTTCTCAACCTTATAAATTCAGGTCTAATGAGGAAATGGATGACATGCTATGTAATATGCGCATCATTACAGGAACTGTCAGCTGAGTTCCAGAACAACATCGATCAAAGGATTAACAGATAATACGTGATTGATTAAGTATATCTTTTTTTCAGTACTTAATAAGGCCACATGCCTGCAGTACAATACAAAATATACAATCAGACATAGTATAAAAATATAGGTAAAATTGTAAAAGCTCACCCAGCTAAATTGCAGACTCTATATTAATCTGTACATGGAGGCATGCTAAATGGCCATAGATAAATCTTGCAGAACGTTACCATTTGCATTTCGTAACAATAAATAAAATTTAGTTACATTTGGGTATGTAAAGTAATAGGGTTTCAGATATCTTTCTCTAAGTTGTAAGTAAACAGGGCATATAAACAGAAATGATAGTCATCTTCAACTGAACTTAAGTTACAAACATTGCAAATTCTTTGGTCCCGACTAATGTTTAAATAACGTCTTGTATCAATTAACAGATCGTGAGAGGAACATGTAAAACGTGAAAGAGCTGTTCGGAACTTTTTAACAGTAATCTTATAAAGGTAATCTTCCTGAATTATTTGTGATTTAAATAGTTTGTAATAAAAACACTTCTTTGATAAAGCCAGTGAAGCAGTCCATGTCTGTATATACATATCTTTTAGCCTTTGTGTTAATGACAATACAAAATTTGATTTTGAATACACATTCTGATTTTGCCAAACCTTTCCATAACCACAACTGAAAAGTAACTTTCTAGCTCCAGTAACCCAGTGTCTCTTTCCATTTTTATCATAAAGTAGCATCATATTATAACATTGTTTGGTAGTCTGTATGAAGGCACATCAAGAAGTCTTAACCAGTATTTAATGACCTTAATATTTGAGTGTAGATAAAAAGGAAACCGACCACAGTCACCATATACCACCAGGCTAGATGTACTTATCTTCACACCTAAGAACCTTGTACAGGCATATAACTGAATTTTGTCTGTCACATAAAACTGCTGTGAACCCCACACTTCTGATCCATAATAATGAAATTGGGAGTATTTTAACATAAAATATTTTGAAAAATGATTGGTTTGAAACATTTCCCAACAAACGCAAGCGTTTGAAAATACTTACAAAAGCCTTTTTTGCTTGGATTGCTGCCTGATTTGATTGTTTCCTCCATAACAGATTCCTACTGAAGTACATGTTATGTAATATATGCAGCAGGACAGCAACTGTCAGCTGAGTTCCAGAAAAAAACATCGATATCGATCAAAGGATTAACCGATAATACGTGATTGATTAATCACTGTTATCTTACATACTGGAGGTGTGAAAGTGTAGTGTTTGTGTATGTAGATTTGATAACGAAGGTATAATAAAAACAATGAATACGGCCATATTCTGTCGTAAAGTGTCCATGCAAAAACAACATACTTTGTTCAAAGGATTAATCGACAATACGTAGATTGATTAGATCAATTCAGGATCATTGAGGATCAACACGTTAAGATCGGGCCAGAAGTGGTTTTCAGGAACCGATGTTGACGTAAGAGACGACTAGAAGGACTGGTTGGTTAGACTTGCTGACTTGGTTGACACATGTCATCGTATCCCTAGTACCTAGATCGATGTTCATGCTGTTGATCACAGGATTGTCTGGTCCAGACTAGATTATTTACAGGAATCCGCCATCTAGTTCGAATATTGCAGAGTGCGGCGTTAAACAACAAACCAACAACAGCAATCATTCCGGGTCGACAAATGCGTTTCAGGAAGACTGAAGTATTTATACGTTTCAAATCCCGTTTCGTTTAACGATTCCACGATACCATGTTCAGATACGTTCACGGGCCACTCCTCCAAGTTCATATGCACTTTACTCGAAATAACGTTATTATGCTGCACGTCTGTGGTTCCTCATTGTTCATTGTTTTCATGTGTGCATGTTGTATCAATAAATTGTAGGCATGGTTGTTGATAATGGAGTAATTAGCCAATAATAAATATCGTTGGTCCGGCTTGGCCCAGCCCGGCCTTGGTTTTAGGCAACTCAGATCAGGGGATTGATGGTTACGAGATGTTATGTTAGGAATATATCAATCGTGACACACTTTGAGAACGATAATAAATTATTCCTGTTACAGTCAGTCTGTGTCTCTGACTCAATGATGACCACACGTACACTCAGAAAGGTTTTATCCGCTGTATTCAGTGACTGCAATAACTGAAGTCAGGAACGTTTGAAAGCCAGTGTTTGACTTTGGAACCCATGCGCGTATATTGCTCTCGTTTGTACAGTTACTTCCTGTTTTCAAGCAAGACAGTGAGACTTTCAGGCTGTGGTTGTCAAACATACCAGTTGCTTATCAGACCAGCTGAGCAGTTGTACTGAGTCACTCTTTTAAACGCATTATCGCAGTGTTTGTTCTTTGTTAAGATTACATACAACCCACACGTTGAGAGCTGTCGAAGTATGTGCTTTGTTATTTGATTCGCATAAATGTCCCGCAGTGTTTTCCAATCCATTGGAGATATCAGTCCATCTCCGTTGTGTGTGTGTGCAATCGTTGCCATGGTAATACGGCAAAACACGTAACTCATGTGTGGAAGTTATTAGGATAAGCAACTCATTTATTCAGAGCACGGGATGATGAGAGTTTCATGGTTGTTAGGTTTCCTGGCCATTTCGTTTTATGTGTTTTGTGTTGACTGTAGAACGGGGTCAAACGAGACCCTTCTACGTGAAGCCCTTCTAAATGGATATGACGTCAACATCAGACCAGTTCGAAACAGCCTGTCGAAAACAACTGTTCACATTTTCGTTGGTCTTGCGCACATTGGGCAACTTGATGAGAAGGCCCAAACACTGACTGTTATCGGATATGTCAACATGATTTGGAAGGATGATTTTGTTCAGTGGAATGACACAATAGGACCACCATCAATGAGGATTCCAGCTGGGATGATATGGACACCCGAAGTTGTTATCATCAACTCCTTGGATGGCATGGAACCTCTTGGATCCAGTGACTCGAGGCTCATGGTGACATATAATGGCTATGTGTCCTGGACAGTTGGCATATCGAAGTCAGTAAGGTGTAACGTTGACGTCACTTCATTTCCTTTTGACTCTCAAACTTGTCACTTGGCATTTCTCAACTGGGGGTTCGTCGAGAGTGGTGCAGAACTAATAAATACAACAAATGAAATTGATTTTAAATTTTTCAAAAAGAAAGGAAGTAGTGAATGGAAGATCTTAGGTAGTTCGGTAGTCGCAACCATGCACCCAACTGCTGTAAATAGGACGGAGCCGATGGTGTTTGCCTACATTCGTCTAGAAAGACGGTACATGTTTCATGTTGTCACGAGCATCCTGCCTGTGGTTTGTCTTTCTATCCTGAACCTTGTGGTGTTCCGGACGCCACCAGAATGTGGTGAGAAGATGTCAATGTCAGTTTCCATCTTGCTTTCCTATGGGATTTATGCTACCATTGCCTCCACGACACTCCCGTCCAACTCGGAATTCCCTTGTCTCTTCAGCATCTATTTAGCCATCCTCATCAGCATCAGCTCTACCAGCGTCATCGCAACTCACATTGTAGTCGTCATGCATCACAAAGTCGGATCATGTGAGTGGAAGGTATTCAGGCAATGGTCGTCTTGCTCTACGAAGTCAACCAACACCATTGAGGCTTACTGTGATGAGAGCGAACAACCAAAACGTGAGACGTCCCTACTGTGGAAGGACGTGGCAATAATTCTAGACCGAATTTTCTTCTCAGTGTTTCTTCTGGTTACACTCCTGGTGACAATGGCCGTATTCATCATGATGGCAAAATATCGTTAATGATATTGTAAGATCTCTTATAAACGTTTACTGTGTGTGACTATCCTTTACTTATGGGATTTATACTACCATTGCCTCCATGACACTCCCGTCCAACTCGGAATTCCCTTGTCTCTTCAGCATCTATTTAGCCATCCTCATCAGCATCAGCTCTACCAGCGTCATCGCAACTCACGTTGTAGTAGTCCTGCATCACAAAGTCGGGTCATGTGAGTGGAAGGTATTCAGCCAATATTCGTCTTGCTCTACAAAACTAAGCAACACCGTGGAGAGGGAACACCCAGAAAGTGAGAATTTCCTTCTGTGGAAGGACGTTGCAATAATTCTCGACCAAATCTTTTTGTCAGCTTTTCTCCTGGTGACGCTCCTTGTGACAATGGCCGTGTTCATCATGATGAGAGAATATCGTTAATGCGATTGTATTATGTTTGACAAAACATTTCTGTGTCTAGCCATCCCTTATATGATTTGTTCAGTGGAACACCATCCAGTATCTTTGTCATACTCATGGTTCAAATATCCGGCAGATGTTGTGGTTAATACCCCAGTGGTAAGTGCTGATTTCACTCTTCACTCCACATCCCTGTGGATGTACATGAATATATACCATGTTCGTTGTTCTTATAGAAATACAAAGATGCTTCTTGTGTTATAAGAATGTATGAAACCCGCGTCTGAAGAAGGAAAAATAGGTAGAAATACTTTAGGAACTACGTCATGGTCAGATTCCGTGTTGTTTGACTGTTTCCTGTCTACCACCGCACTCAGCACCTTTCCATCTTTTTCACGGTGATCTGTAATTATCGAGTCTAGACCAGATAATCAAGTGCTTGACATAATGAACATCGCTATTCATCTCACGATTTGCTAATAGAATGGGGAGGGTATTTTGGCTTAATAGAAGAACAAAGGATATGTAAAATGTGTAATCTGAATGTAATTGAAGACGAGTACCATTTTCTTTGTATATGTCCAGCACATTATATGTTGAGAAATAAGTATATTGACAGCTACTACTTTATACATCCTGACATTTACAAATTCATATCTCTTTTAACAAATTCTAGTTAAGTGCATTTAGAAAGATTATCTATGTGTATCTATTACGCTACCACATACACAAGAAATACTTTACAAAAAATTCTATTAACTGATCATGTGTTCACGGTATTGGTACTATAGGCCCGAGGCCTCCTGAGAACGGAAATAAATTTGATTTTGATATTGATATTGATTTGTGACGAATTGCACCGATGCAGTGTGATGACTTTCTTGTGAACACATTATATCATCTTTAATTGACAGTGATTCATAAACACATGCATATGATATCGACAGAAACGTCCGATGGAATTTCTCTTAATCAGAGGTTTGGCATGTGGAAACTCTGCCGCGTGAACAAGGGCTTTCAAGAGCAAATTCCACTTGTATCACGACCTGGAAATAACAAGGAAAAACCATTCCACCCTTATACGAAATGCCTGTTAAAGGATCGTGTCCTATCCGACTATACCGTACGTGTATGGATCACTATCAAATCCCACACCCTCCTTGTTTACAGTTTGACGAGAGCAGAAATAATGACTTGTGTACATAATGAATATGATCAGCAGAGTTGGTTCAAATCACGTCCAGCGCTCAGTTCTTGCTCATTACTTGCGTCCTTATATTACAGTAAAATCGACATGATATTTCTTTAGCGTAATAAGCAAATAACAGCTACAACATAAATAAGCTTACAACAGCGCAATCCACTCGTCTTGTCTTATAAAGAGGCTCATTAGTTGCAATTTTATCCCACAAGAAAACAGTCCTCATTCCATTGTTTTCTTTTGGGTGAACATTTGTTGATAAAGCATTTGGGCATTATTGGTGATAAATGTAATACTCCGGTGATAACAAATCATTATGTAACACGTTGTTTGCACTTGTTGTTTACCCATTGATTATAACATGGTATTGCATTTGTATACCCATCTCCATACCAGTTAGGTAGAGTATCAGTCGCTTCCATTTCTCACCTATCTTTCGTCTAATTGCTAGTCTCCCAAGGTAGGATAAACGTAGTTACACAACAACGTATGCGGAAAACAGCTGGTTCTTGAAAAAGACCACATGATGAATATATATTATAACCTCGCATCGACGTTTTAGCAAACCTGACTAAAAATCAAGAACGGTTCGGCTAAAATTCAAGCCATCAGTCCGAGCTACTTGGAGAAAGAGCCTTATCTGTGGAATGCGACCCCTGTCACTCTTATATACGCGGACAATTTTGAAACATGTTACCACAAATGCATGTTTTCAGAGAACCCGTAGCTGGCGACTAGGCTTGCTATTAAACTTGAACCGGTGTTATTGCATTATACGTGCAGGGGCTTATGTAGCAAATGCTTTCCGTGGGAAGTGCATGTTAATTTTTGGAACCACTGATAATTGTAATCAGTATTGCATATGGATTCAGAAAAAACATGGTTCCATTTTTCTGATGATTATAAGTGTCATTCTGGGGTAAATGAACATCGGTACCCATACTCGAACTGCAACACTAATGTGAGAAAAACATATTTTTATATATTTTTATCACAACATAGGCATGTAGTATATCAAAATGTACCTTGTGATAAGTGTTTTACAACTACCATTATATATCATGGATCTTGATAATATATGTATGCATAATAATCACTATGGTCATAATTGCTTCTGCCAAAACCGAAGGTTTGTTGCAGAGGGTATGCATTCAACCCTGTGTGTGTGTGTGTGTGTGTGTGTGTGTGTGTGTATTTATGTGTTAGCATCTTTACTCAAAAACTACCGGATGGATTTTTCAATGAAACTTACTGGATCTCTTGGGTATGTCCCCAGGACAAATCAATTAGATGTTGAAGAAAGTACACTGTTCAAGAAAAGAAACGCAAAAGCAAAATATCATTGAAAAATTGGTCTTATTCAATTATGTAAATCAACGAAAGTAAACGGTACAGCATTGAAATTATGTAGAGCAATACATTGGTGTCTCGTGCACATTTCACAAGAATGATAGTCATCATAGTCATTACTGCTGTCCACGAGGTGACGTTGACGTTACTACCTTGCATGGCCACCTCTTACTGCTAGAACTGCACGACTCCTCAGATCGAATCAGTTGTTGGATGTTTCGTTGTGGAATCCTTCTCCATTCCTCCTGCAGCATGTTGAACAACAGTTACTGTTATAGCTTCGATAGCGGATTACGACGTTTACGTACACGTTTATCTATCTGATCCCACAGGTAATCTATTGGATTCAGATCCAGGGATCTGGAGGGCCAGAGGAGGACATTGATGTTGTTATTGTCCAGGTAGTCCACTGTAGCACGTGCTGTGTGAGGTCTGGCGTTGTCCTGTTGGTACAGCTCCCTTTGGCGGTCGAAAGGTGATGCACGTGAGGACAGCGAATCTGGTCGATATATCGAGCGGCCGTAAGATTGCCTTGGACGTACAACAATTCTGATCTGCAGATGTGTGAGATGGCTCCCCACATCATCACACCATCTCCACCAAATCTGTCCACTTGCCTGATGCAGTTGGATACAAAACGTTCATTGCGTGGTCTGTAGACACGTTGTCTTCCGTCACGTCGCTTGAGGGGATACCGCGATTCATCACTGAACCATGTGTGCCTCCAGTTTCCAAGGTTCCATGGCTGCACCGCGGTACACCACCTGACTCGCAGACGTTGATGTAATCGTGTTAGAGAGGGGGCAACGTTTGGACGCCTGGCACGCATACCTACCTCTCGGAGACGGTTTCTGATTGTCTGGTCGGACATTCTGCGGGCTCCAAGCCGTTCTTGTGCTGTGTCCCGGGCGGAACGATGGCAGGCACGTAGGTGGGCTACCCGGATGTAGCGATCTTGGGCTGGTGTGGTGACTCACGGTCTTCCTGGTCTTGGATGGTCATTTGTCGAAATGGAATGCACAAAGAGATCCCACAAACGAGATATTGCGCTGGGATCAATGCTGAAGGTCCTCGCCACGACACTCTTGGATTCGCCAGCTTGTAATCATTCAATGGCAATATTTCTGTGGGCACCGTTGAGACGTCCCATTTTCTCATCCAGTATTTGCAAGAGTCTTGGATGAATTTACGAGATGCATTTGGGTCTTTTATAGTCAGAGGTTGTACTCATGCTTTGCACACGAAAAGCAATAATGGCGGCTTTTGGTTGTGTTCCAGAACAGTCAAGCTCTTCATGACAATCGTGATCGATAAAACCATTCAAAACCGTTTATGGTTGCATTCGCTCTCGCATGTTCTTCTAAATCATACCAACAACAATATCCAACCCTAAAAACATGCTTAGTTTGACATATGCGTACAAACTTTCGATCATTATTTTCAAATTATATTTTGCGTCTCTTTTTTTTGAAGAGTGTATGTTAAAGTACATGTACACTGAGGTACTCTGAAAATAATCGCAATGTTAAATAAATGGAGAATATGAATGGTATCTCAGAAAGTTATTGATGGATTTGAATGAATCTTGGTTGTTATGTTAGGTATGACACAAATACTATCTGCGTACGGTTTGGTGAAAGTACATTAAAGTACAAGTACACAGTATTACTTTGAAAATGTAACAGTGAAATGAGATTGCTGTGCAAGGCGGAGGCATGTTCTCTAACGTGGGCCCTTCTACTTTCCAAATGAAGAAAAAATATGCGTAGAAGACATGCTTGTGTTTGTATGACAAATAATGTCGAAGTTTGTATTTCAACAGCATATTTTGTTCTTGCAGGTTAATGACGGATTGATTGACTATGCAAGTTACTTAACAATGTGAAAGTTAAAATAAATATACTAGTGCACATTATATATTACACTTGCATACCCCACTTGTAATGTGTAGTTATCTATTCGCTGTGATGTAATTTGTCACTCAAATGTATTAATACATTCAGTTTATACTGACTGCTGATTTGGCTTTATGTCATTTGCCATTTAATTACCCAGACACGAGTGTCAGTGTGTCAATTTTGACTGTACTGGTAGGCCTGATTCGACACTTGTGCACGCCTATATGATACTCACATTTACCTTACCTCGGTACTATTATTACTACATAAGTGTGTCATGGTAGTATATATTATGAAATGGGAGAATACATTAATTGAGTAAATGGTTTCCATTGATATAGGTCAATACTTACAATGGTGGTGTCCGATGAAGGAAAGAAAATATTTGATTAATTAATATGATTATGTCATATTATATGTCATATGATATTTCTATATCATACATCATATGCTGCCTTTTGATGTGCGACATGACTATGTTGTAATAGGTTTATGAAAACATGTTTTTCTCGAAATGGTATCGCAAGCAATCTTGGGAACTCATATTCAATCACCCCACAATGACACTTATAGCAAATATAAAAAATAAAACCATGTTTTTTCTGAATCCATACACAATAGTGATTACAATTTGTATTGGTTCCAAAATTAACATGTAATTCCCACGGAATTACACAAGCCCCTGCACTATATAAGTATTACCAGTTGTCTCTAAGAAATGCATTCAGAATTCCGATCCGAATGTTTTTACGGCGAAGTGACTTTCACGTACCAAATGGTTTACTTATGTAAATGCTGATCTGTGTTAATGCGCTGATGAAACCAAACTGCTCAAGCCTAATGGAATAGCATACGAACCACAATATAGTACTGTAGAAAACGGTATGAAAAACAACAAACTTCAACGGTTTTCAAATTCGTTTTGATGGCGATTTCATTAACCACACCCCTTGTAAAGATTAAGTTTAGTTTTAACGAGTACAATCACATATTCAATATTTAGTTGTGGATCGCTAATGTGTCGATCTAGCCTAGATCTACTCGGACTACTACTCGTGCCAGAAGTACAAAACAGCAAAAACCTGTCATTTTATGTTAACGTTAACTTATAAAACAGTTACAATCTGCAAGGGAACAATAACATGCAGGAATGGTGAACCTTTTAAAGAAGACAGTACACAATTACGAACAGTTTGTCAACATTTTGCTGAAACGGACTGTGACCTAGTTTTGGCTCGCGTCAGTGTCCCTATCAGGAACGAGTTAGTCCGAGTTCGAGTCGACGACAGTTTTCGTTCGCAGCCAAAACGTTGTCATTGTCATGGTCAAAAACAGGAACAAACCTGCCAAAAGTTTTGTTTTTCGATTGGGGGTTCAAAAAATCATCTTGCAGGAAGTCAATTATGACACTCTCAGGCATGTGGGGACTTTGGTTAGAAGCCGACTCGCACTTCCAGTCTATACCTTACGACTTCCATTTCACCATATTCAGTGTTTATCACATACACGTGGAAGGAATTTAGTGGTTGTATTATTCTCGTTACACGTCCAGTAATGTCTCCGTCCACCTCAACCAGGCCATTGACTTTGATTGGAGTTAACTGGGTAGCTATGTTTGTTTATAAAGAAGCAGACGATTTGATCACGTTCAGACAATTTTTATTACAAACCATGTTGTTAAGTAAACGACGCCATATTGTTAATGAAGTATGAAAGAAAGCATTAAATTAGCATCAAAATCGAAATCCCGTATGCTTCTTTAAATATTTTTTTGGTTCAATTTGAAAATCTCGAATCAGTGCGATTACAACACGATCAATTCGTCAATGAATCGATGAAATATTATTGATGAACGTAGTGATGTGAAAGTAGTTCCAGCATCCAATGAAAATGTACAAATATGCGATCGACCAATCAACGTCGAAAATCACTAAATTGCACATTGTGCAAATATCAAATATACATTAAACGGGACCTCCTTATAGAAGCGATTTCAGCTTTAAACTATGGATAATAAGTACGTTTATCATGGTTCTCGATTCCATATTGTTCAAGAATTCAGAATTCATATGTTGTTGAAACTTGTTATTGAAACAGTCAGTTGTCAATGAAGAACCCTAATAATGTTTTAATCATATGGCATTGAATATGTACACGAATAAAATACACATATGTTTCTGCTTTAGCTTGTTTGTGACGTTTTGAGCTTAGCTTTAGTCACCGCTTTGTTCCCATTCAAGGAAGCATCTTTGTCTGGAAGCAAGTCAGGCTGGTAGTCACAAGGACGTGATGGTTGTTCTTCCACTATGAGTAACTTCCCCCGCTCAGGCGTCTCTGATGTAAAGGTTTTCATGGTGTCTTCTAAAGCTTTTCCTTTTGTTTCGTCAAGTCCCAGTGTAGCAAGCACTGTGAGGAACACAATGATTCCCAGTGCAATGAATGGCACCATCAAATCCTTATTTCCACCCTGAAAATGATTTGGGAAAGGCATCTGTAAAATATACACGATGTTGCATTCATTTCAACAACTCAAAATATATGCATCTATAGTTACAGTGATTAAAAAGAAACAAACTCAGGACATATATGTAAAGATGTTAAAGCAAAGGACAGAGTTGATGTGTGAAGAATGTTCATAGGTGTGTCTATGCTACTAACAACCATATTCGGTTGGTGCATCTACGCAATCGACACTTAACTGCCTTATTGACAGCTCGATGTGTTCTTGGTTTGACGCCAATTAGTGGCAGAACCGTACGCAACAGGTTGACGGAGTCCCAAGTTTTGCTTCCACGTCATGACTGCTTTGCTGAACACAGTGTTTGCGTTGCAGAAGACTATATCTTTTATATGGTCTCTGACAATACTGAAAAAGTTACAACGTGCGACAAGAAATTAAATATGTCTACTTTTCTCTTGACGTTTCGGTTGTCCAGCACAGGGAATATGGAATTGAATTTCTTCAAAGTTCAGTATTCTCATTACAACACAGACACGATAATGTATGTACTCATGAAAATTGAACTCAACTAGCAACTCACCAGAGTCAGAACTTGACCTGCGAGTATACCACCAATTCGTGCACCGCAGTTCATAGCAGCGTATCCCAAATTCCTTTAAAAACGCATTAATAAAATATTAGTTGCTGAGATAAAAGTGTTATGTCTGTGAGGATACGATAGGTAAGCTGTGATAATATCAAAAGCAGAAAATCTTAGTATGGCAAATGTTTTGGTATACGCGGGTATCTCTGAGAGCAATAGTGGCGTGTGTTTGTCTGGTGTTTAAGGCTACACTCAGCAATATTCCAGCTATATGGCGGCGATCCGTAAATAATCGAGTCTGCACCAGACAATCCATTGATCAACATTATAAACATTGGATACGCAACTGGGATACGATAGCATGTGTCAACCAAGTCAGCGAGTTTGACCACCTGATCCTGTTAGTCGTCTCTTCCGACAAGCAAGGGTTGCTGTAGAGCAATTCTAACCCGGTTTGCAATAGCGGTGACTTTCTCAAGTGGGTGACGTGCCACGTCAGTGAGTGAGGGACAAAACATGGAACATACATTTGAAATATTCTCGTTTTGAGATTAATTGTGGCCACAAGTGATGGAAAGAAACCGATATAGTCCCTGTATTATAGCCTTAGGGAACAATAAAATACGTCTTCATTCAAATTTTGAGAGGCGGATGCTACTGTCAGAAAAGGCCACCCGCACACTTTACGCGAACGAGTGATTTCCAGTGGTCCGTTCAAATACTTATCAAGTATTATTTACCAGTTTGTCTTTAGACAATTTAATGGAATATGTTTCGGTAGATAATTAAGACCAATTCCCTGGCGGTGACGTTTCAAACGTTTCCATACATTGTAATTAAAACAGTTTGTGTTCTTTACAGTTTGGAGATTTCTGTCCCAGGAATGCTCCTCGTTTTGATTTAACCTGTCTTTGATTTCAAGCGGGACAGCATGGCATTATAACTAGCAAAGCAACAATTGTATTATGTCCAACATAATGGACATAAGTACCAATTTTCGAGGCTGACATTTTGGTTCCTGCAAGCGTTTCCTAACTATGTTAATGGTGCATTGTAACCTATTGTATGACGCTGTGGCACTTATATATCGCTGTGCGTGAGAAAATATTAATGTAAAATATTGCTGCTGTTAATTATATAAAACGTCCATAAAATAACCACCCTCGAATTTCTGAAAAGGACGCAAAGGTAAAACAGCTGTGAATAGAACATGAATGTATCGCTGAACATAAGTGATGGCACCAGGTGTTAACGGAACGCGTGAATTTGGTCCAGGACCACATCCAATACCTGATCACAGTTGGGTACTGTTCAACACACAAGGCCTGTATAACCAGCCAGCCTAGAAGACTTGTACACTTGGCCATCATTGCGCATGCGTTGATATAGTTCCCTTTATCTTCCTCCGGAGCTATGGGACAAAGCAGCAACTGATTCTTAAACAAGTCGTGTTTTCAGGTGCATAAATTAAAATAAAGTCCAGATATAAAGAACTATTAGTCCTTTATATATGTACCTGACGAAATTATGTGTATGTGTGTGTGTGTGTGTGTGTGTGTGTGTGTGTGTGTTCACTGCAGTGTTGCAGCACACCTACTCATTTGATCAACGGTAAGTTCTACTGTCTCTTCAAGAACATGTACTAAAGTCAAAGACTCACCTAACCGTGTCGATATCGCCAAACCAAAGCATCCCGCGGCTGTTAGAAGGAACGCTGCGGAACCACAGATACGTCTTCCAAATCTGAAAATGGATTCAGGAATATTTTTAAGTGTGGAATGGATCAGGAATAATATTATCTATTTGAACTTCTGGGAAATTAATTTTTCAACGTGAGCACAGATGACCAAGTTGTCGTCAAGCCTGTGCAGCTTTGTCCCTTAGGTTTTCCTGGAACCCCTTTGGAGGTATTAAGTGAAACGGAATGGACCAGTTTATTGAGCAAAAATGAAGGCCACCAGTGACCTTGTTAAGTATAGATTAGCGCCGACAACCAAATTCAGTTCTGCCAATTTTCATACGAAAACACAATGAAACCATTTTGCAGGATACAGTACATTTTAGAAAATGGCCAAGATGTTGACAAACTGGTTTGCACACATGTTATTTTCGTTTACTTTGACTTGTACCACATCTTCCCGAGTTGTTGTTTTCAGGTGAATAACTGACTTGTCTGCCCTTGTGTTTATGACGGTTTGCAACCGGTGGGGCAGGTGCGCTCACCTTTTCGCGAGCACCTGTTATTATTACTATTTGATGCTGCTTAACGAACAAATGAATCGTACAACAGTATCTGTTTTTGACAGATATTTCATTTGAATATGGAAATTGTTTTGTCGCTTTCATTTGTGCCAACATCTTAGTGCAGGAAAACTTCCTTAACTGTTAACTCGGTGGAATTTAATCAATTAATTAATGATCAATTGTGCCACTCATTGTCTGGTTCTTATGAAAAGAAACATATTTCCCTTCTCGTGGATATTTTCAGTAAAGATGGAACTATTCAGTCACACAGCAAAGGTTTTACAGGTATTCCTATACTGCCTGTTTTACTGCCGTGTATTCCGAAAACAATTTATAATCATTTAGAAATCAATGATGTTTGATCGGTTTGATAATAACATCAGTTTCGGGAATATCTCAGCTTTTTCAGTTGCAACACATTTCGGGAATAGACAGCAGAAAGCATGACACAAATTCCTAGATACTGACTCACAGAGAGGTGACGAGGACTATGCAAGGCGTTACTGGCAGCTCCGTCAGCGCCATAAGGAGCATGTTGAGGTAGAAATCACCTGACAGATTCTTCAAGCCAAAGCTTATGGCATAGTACACGACTGAACAAGAAAACCTGGAGAAGAATGAATTCCTAAAAAATAATGATATTATTTATAACGCGTCTTTTATAGGCTCGATATCTTGCTCTGATCATTATTATCCCGGATAACCAAAGCTGCCTGTTAAGCGCAAGAAGGTTAATAGTCTCACGACTTATTTCACCGGGTACCCATTTTTCGGTGGGTGAACAGAGGCAATTTTGAACAAACTCATTTGCCTAAAGTGAGACCACATGTATCACATGTGCTTTGTTGTGGGTCAGGACTGAAGTCCTGGAAACTCTCAGTAGTCAAGCAGCCAAACACGGTCACCAGTCCAGGGACTTTCCGTGCCCAACGTTGCTTTACTTCAACTGATTGTGACCTGAGCTCTACGCACAGGACCACACACCACCACATTCTTCTACTGTCTCGATTCAGGGATTTCCAAAGACAATAGGGGCTGTGGGGTAGCCTAGTGGTTAAAGCGTTCGCTCGTCACGCCTAAGGCCCGGGTTCGATTCCCGACATGGGTACTGTGTGTGAAGCCCATTTCTGGTGTCCCCAACCGTGATGTTGCTGGAATATTGCTAAAAGCGGCGTAAAACCATACTCACTCACTACAAAGACAATAGCCACTTCAATGAAACATCAACTATTTTTTCGACTGCCGTGTGACATCAGAGAATTACCTCCTTAATTTACATCCTTGCAAAAATCTCTCGTTCATGTCTTCTGGACATCATGATTCAGCCTTATGGCATATAATAAATATAATAATTCATTTATATAGCGACTAGAATCCAACTGCTCCATGGACACTGTAATCAGAATCTGATTATTATTACCCGGATAACCCAAGCTGCCTGTTAGGCGCTAGAAGGTTATAGTCACATGCCTTTATCCAACCGGCTACACATTTTCTGCTGGGTGAACAGTGGCAATTTTGGACAAACTCACTTGCCTAAGGTGAGATCACATGTATCACATGGCCTCGTTGTGGGGGCAGGACTGAAGTCCTAGAAACTCTCAGGAGTCAAGCTGCCAAACACGGTCACCCATCCAAGGATTATCCGAGCTCGACGTTGCTTAACTTTAACTGATTCGTGACCTGAGCCCCAAGCACAGGACCACACATCACCACATGTTGCATAATCATATCATATTGTACATTTATTGCTGTCCTGCGTGTATTTACTTTGACAATAGATTTACTTTGACAATAGATTTACTTCAAATAGTCATATTGTCCTGCAAAATGAAACACATGACTGCAATAACATGTCACATCTGACATACAGTGAAAACATCTCTTTTTTTCTCTTGTATCGATTAGCCGAACTCAAAAGAGTTCCTGTTTCCTGGTGATACAATGGAGATACACCCACCGAGTTTTCAAAGAATATCTGCGAAGTCACAAGTCACAATATATTAATATCATGAATATTATTTCAAGTACTGACACAAGCGAAGATACTACTTTATGTATTCGTAGTTCCAGCGTGTCACATTGTCGAATGATATATTATTACAACGAGGTTATTGTTGCAAAGGAATTCATGGGAATACAACCATGTATGCTGGAAAAAATATTTCGTGTAGGTACAAGTAAGAAATCAACCAATCCCAGCTAACAATTTCACGTTGTCACAACGTTATGCTTTCGTTGTTACAACGTTATTCTGTGGACTCCGATTTTTACGTTGTCACAACGTTGTGGCCTGACGTATACGTCATTTTTAGGTCACAAACTAACCGCAAGGTTAAGTTATTTGATGCTAACGTAATTTACGTTCTCTTAAGGTTCAGATCTATTTAACGTTAATAGTTGTCCTTGAAGTGAACAGTAAAAAAGAAACAAACCAGAAATTCACTTCAATGTTAATTCGTCAATTTGCATGTTGTTTTGGTCGTGTGTTTCTGAAACTGTAGCTGAATAGTGAAGAATCAGAAAGTGATTCTCAAAGTGAAAAGTTTTTCAGAAACTCTATCGTGACAGAAAGACAGTTATAAGAAACGTTGTTATTACGCAGTGACATAACGTTATAAAATGACGTAATACTAACGTTGTGACAACGTTGTGTCATGCCGTAACCAATCTACACGCTTCCCACAACGTTGCAAAAACGCCGTGTGTCAGCTGGGATATGTGTATTCCTTTTTACGACAAGCACGATCTCGAATTGTGTCACCTTTCTTTTACCGATTCTAATTTAATATATGTTGTGCCACACCAAGTGACGTGACGACATACTGAGGTGCGGTATTCACCTAAACATACAAATACTGGGTTAATTTTGTCAGGGGTATCAACTGCTGAGTCATCGTACACATTTTTAAACATTAGAAAATAGCTTTCTGGGATTACCTAAGTATCATTACAAAATGCATTCCCAGTGTATCAGGGAGACTATTATTCATAATCTACTGATCAACCTACCAGATATAACATGAAAATATTGTTTTCCGAGTTAGTTTCTTTGTCATCAGCAAATCTTTATATGAGTAGGAGTTGGCTTTGTCCCCCTCTGCCTTCTCCTCTTTGGCGATCAGATCCAGGATAGAAGTATCTGGAACTGGCTTCTTGTTGTAAGCCGCCATCTTGTGGATAAGACGCCTCGCCTCCTCAACGCGGCCTTTTACAGCCAGCCAACGGACGGATTCTGGCACAAAGCTTTGCAAAAATAGAAGCCAAGACTTTAGAAAAGATTTTGAGCTTAATCGTAAAAATGTATGAAGCTAATCCCAGTGTTGTACTTGAAAGATATTATCAAATTCCGCATAACTTGTGTCATGTGATCAAACATGGTGGTTTTTTATACTTTTGTTATGAAATGGTATTTGAATCAATCACGCATCCCGGTGTGTGTAAGCAGCATCTTAACATTAACATGATGCAAAATCACAGGACTTTTACGATATGTCTGAGAGACCGTCTTCTGGCCAATGTCTAAAGTTTTTACAAAATGGACAAAGGACAAAGATCAGTTTTGAAAGTTTTTGTACGATTTTGATTCTTGATTTGAATATAGCGGCGGTGGGGTAGCCTTGTGGTTAAGCTTTCGCTCGTCACGCTGAAGACCTGGGTTCGATTCCCCACATGGGTACAATGTACGAAGGCCATTTTTCGTTTCCTCTGCCGTAATATTGCTGGAATATTGCTGAAAGCGGTGTAAAACTAAACTCACTCAATGATTTAAGTATCATATTTTTTTATTACTTACAACCATGTAAAGAGGATGGGAACTGTCAAAACTGACATTGAGAGATGCAGCCATTTCCAGTGGTGTAGCCATTTCGCAATGAGGCTGAATATCATGATCGACACCGACCAAGATGGAAGGGACGAAATGAATGCTCGCCATTTCTTTCCAACAAACTCTATCTGGTAGAGGTATACTGTACTTAATATAAAGCTACAGGCAATGCCAAGAACCGCTCGTAAAACTGTAAACATGATCCAGGAAACAGAGAAGGCTGAAGCCGTATTCCCAATGAAGATGAGAAGAAGTCCACTGTAGAAAACCTTTTTCCGACCATATGCGTCTGCACAATAGCCAGCGATCATTGTACCAACCAGCACACCGACCATTTGGATGGAGATCATTGCGTTGCTGATCCAGCTCATCTGACAGACCAAGTTCCACTGAAATTAGGGGAAGGTGCAAAGGCATATGATACACGTGTGCTGTAATGATGCACTTAGTATGCAATTATTTTCCCGATGATGTTGGATTAAAATAATACAGATATCAGAGCTCCTGCATGACATATTTACATTTGGGCACGCTCGAAACATTCAGCTGTAGGTTCGAATCCCGATTCGCCCCAGTAATGATTTCAATTATCTTAGAACCATACTTATGCTCGTAGGTATCATCAAAGGTTTAAACGTGTGAGGCATCTTCGGGCTTTCCTCCTACATGCCGTGATATGACTGGAATACTGTTCAAAGTGGCATCAAAACAAACTCACTCGTTCATTCATTGCTGTGGGTTTCTCATGTTTTACTGGGAAAGTAAAAAAAAACAGTTTTCGCATATTTACCTCTGTGACAGCTGTCTCCATGGAATCACTGAACTTCCTTTCACATGATCCGTTCCAAAAACAATTTTGGTAACTTTCGTTCGCATAGCTCAGATTCGTCTGGCTGGATTGTAGATCTTGTGACGTACACCACCAGTCAGGTTCCACGCCAGCAAATGCCATCATCAACATGGTAGGACCAACTACCAGCATGGATAACGCCAATATCGGAACCAGAATCAGTTGGTAAGTACCAAATCCTCCAAGATCATCAATGAGTGTTTCCAAATGCATGACTTCCAAGTATTGAGTGAATGTTGCTCTACCTTTGTAGATGGATCTAGAAGCATCCGTGCATTAAAGGGAAGAATTGTTATTTCTTTACACATGTAATTGAGGCGCGTGAATCTTTACGTAGGGTTTGTTTTTTGGTGTTTTACGCCACACTCAGCAATATTCCAGGTATATGGCGGCGGTCTGTAAATAATCGAGTCTGGACCAGACAATCCAGTGATCAGCATCATGTGCATCGTTCTACGCAATTGGGAAACGATGACGTAAACCAAGTCAGCGAGCCTGACCACCCGATCTCGTTAGTCGTCTCTGTAGACCAATTGCAACCCGCATCACCACGGGTTTTTCCGTAAGTATTAATGATTTTGTCAAGACATCATTTCAGTTAAATAACGTAGATCTCGCAACGACTGAAATTGTCTGTTGTATAAGACTGGATTGACAACGATAGCCGAATAGAACCCTCACGTAAGATACGTCATGAGCGTATTTGTTTCGTATCATTTGTTTTAATAAATGTACGGATACTGCCATCATTAAAGTACATGTAATCAATACACACCACAATCGGTTCACCGACAGGAATATGTATAACTCTTCAAAAAAGAAACGCACAGGCTCAAAACAATGAAATGTATAATTAAATGTATTGAAGTGTACATAAGTCGAATAAGTTTGAGCGTAGGTGAAAGCAATTCGACACACGGATGAACATATGTATTGTTGTCATGGTCAGCATTAATTCAGTTCACTCACTGCACATGTGTGGACACATGGGGGCGTTCAGGTCAGTACCTGGTGACACCATCCCTTGCAGCCGTCACTGCTCGACACCGCCTTGATGGGATTGCACAAGTCGTCGGATTTTTGCTTGGGGAATTCTTCACCATTCCTCCTGCAACGCCTTGGCAAGTTCTGCAAGAAGACGATGGTGACGTTTAAGGACGCGTCGATCAAGTTCGTCACATAGAGGCTGGATTGGGTTCAGATTCGACGATTTGGAAGGCCAGGGAAGGATATTGACCTTCGCATTGGCGGGATGGACACCTGTTACACAAACTGTATGGCGTCGAATTGTCGTGTTGAAGCAGCTCCCTCTGGCGCTTAAACAGTGGGAGGAGGTTTGGCCGAAGGATTTGGTCGCTGTGGCGATTTGCTGTAACATTGCCTTAAACTACCACTAGCTCTAATCTACCCGTGTAGGGCATGTTCCCCCATACCATGACCCTTCCTCCACCAAATCTGTCCACCGGTTGAACGCAGTGCGGCGCTAAACGTTCGTGTCGACATTCGATAGACTCGTTGTCTCCCACCCCGTCGTTGCAGGACGAAACGCAATTCATCGCTTAACCCAACGCGTCGCCAGTTCCCCAGGTTCCAATTCTGTACCCTGTTGAACCATTGGACACGTCGTTCTCGGTTTGGTCGTGTCAGGACAGTTCCAACTTTTGGTCGATATGCTCGAATTCCCACTTCTCTCAGACGATTTCTGATGGTTTGCTTGGTAATTCTTCGAACACAGGGCACTTGTCCTGCAGTGTCCGTTGCTGTAGCCTGTCGGTGACGTAGGTGAAGCACCCGGAAGAATGGGTCCTGAGCAGGAGTGTCACTCTTGGTCTACTTCTTCTGGGACGATCATGGGTCGAATAAAGCGGGTATATGGATGCCATAATGGAGATATGGTGCTGTGGTGGACGTTGAAGTGTCTTGCACCGGCAGACTGGGACTCTCCTGCTTCCAAACGTCCGATGGTGATATTTCAGTAAGTTGCATTCAATCTTGGCATTTCTGTCTCTACTCATATTTCCGACACTTTGCACATGCAGTACGTGGAAAATGTTTTTCTGCATGCACTTTTCATGTATCGTTTTCATTTGAATGACAAACGTTTACAAAGACATTTCGTGATGCGTTTGCGCGCAATACAAACACGGCATGATCAACGGGATTCAAACATAGGAATCGTCTTAATGACGATTACTATCAACATATATCGAAATATCAACTGCTGAAAACGCCTGTGCGTTTCTTGTTTTTGAAGAGTGTACATGGCTACCCATTTCTGGTATTTTCACTGAATAATGTACTTGTTCATTCACTATTTCTCCCATGTATACGGTTCGGATGTTTCGACTTATTTTAAGTGACTCTCTGAAAAACATTCATGGGTAGTAGGGAATAATGATTCATGTAACAATAGCTTAAGGATTCATCTCTACTTGACAAGCAATCGAAAGTTTTCAAACAAAGTATTGTAAAAGGCAATCCGTACAATATTGGAACCTCCAATCATGAGGCGTATATTACTGTAACTGAGTTGTAATAAGCTGGTTTTCCAAGTCCTTTAGAAGAGAAAGATGCCTTAAGCTACTTACTACTCATAGTTTGTTGAACTGCCAGCTGCAAACTAGGTATTCAACGATCAAATCAGGGATGTTTAGTAAACACAATTATTGTATGTACTTACATTATCTCCCCAAATTGCAACCTGCATGTACTGGAAGGTTCGTTGATTGTACGTGGCACGTTGAAGGTTGGTTGAAGGTAGCTTTCGGTCAAACGGAATTAAGCGGAAGTTCTAACTACTGATACTGGAAAAAACTAGACACTTACTGGTGATCCGCGTACAATATATATAGCAATATACAGAGCAAGTAACAGCAGCTTGCAGTTTGCACACTCACGTTCCGACGTGTCTCAGATTGCTAATTAACCCATTCACCCACTTTCAGCTTGTACAGGACCTGCGACATTACCATGGTGTTCGCACTATGGTCTTGAAGGACAATTATTCAAGTATAAGACAAAATATTATGGATGTCAGCTTCTATATGCATCTCAAGAACCTCGACAGTTATTCAGTTTATGTAAATATCATAATCATCGAGGTAGTTGGAAGGCCCTTGTCACCTCTACACGCTGAACAGGCAGCGAAACGGACTGTCCATGAAGTGCTGCCCAGGCCAGAGACTCCGAGACACCCAAAGGGTTGTCTTCTCGGCAGCAAACCTGAAAACTCTCTGTACCCAACAGACATGGGGGTACCCAATCTAAGACGCCAATAATAGGTAGAAGTTGGGCACATTGGTACTTGCGTTGAAAGCATTGTGTTACCATAAATTTCATTTACGATGAAATCAGAAATAAATTATCATTTTGCCAGATTATTATATGCTGCCGTTGTGGCAACGCCGGACATAAACTGACAAGATGTTGAAACTGTAAATATTCAAAACGAGCTGAATTCGACGTTCTGGTGATTTCGACCATTTCCTTTCTCG